GCTTTAGTGGTTGGTGCATAAATTTGAATAATAGTGGTATTAACTGGGCTTCCCTTTAGGCACATGGATAGTAACCTATCACGGACAGTGTTGTACCTCATGACTGATCTGGATATGTTCTTTTTGACGATGAATTCAACACCATTCCTCTTCAATGTGTCATTTCCGGCATAGTAAATCATGTGGTTGTCAGATTTAAAATGGCCAATACCAGTCCCTTTCAGCTCACACAAATAAGGACAGTTTTACTTCTTCCTTATGAATTTGGATGACCTTTTCCCCCTTTCTTGCTGTATTGCTCTGTCTAGGACTTCCAATATAATATTAAATAGGAGTGGTGACAGATAACATCTCTGTCTGGTTCCCTCTCACAATGGGAATACTTTCAGTCTCCATTTAGAGTAATGTTGGCTGGTTTTTTTTTGTTTTTTTTTTGTATATATGTTCTTAATTTTGTTGAGGAATTTAAGAGGACTGTTATCCAAGGGCTTTGTGATCTTGCATGACCATGTATATCCACAAACCTGTGCCCACACTGTTAATACTGCAAAAACTTCATTTTCAGGTGTTAAAGGTTGCTCCCTATAGTCCTGATCTTGCTCCATTGGACTTTCACCTGTTTGGTCCCCTGAAAGCAGCTGTTTCAGGACAAAGATTTACCTCTGATGAAGTGGTGAAGACAGTGGTGCACTTGTGGCTCACAGCTCAGTCTAAAACATTTTTCTTTTTTACATAAGAGAATATGACAGATTTCTGACAGATGAACAAAGATTATTGAAAAGCTAGGAGATTATGTTGAAAAATGATATATTTGTCTTGTCTAAAAAATTGATTAAAATTAATTCCATAGCCAGAGTGAGGATAATTTTTGACTTACCCTTGTAAATAAGTGAAAGAGAAAAGAAAGAAGGAAAAATAAATAAAAAGGAAGGAGAAATGGGAAAAAGAAAAAAAATGTGGCGAGGCAGTGAGTGTGTGTGCTTCTAAGGCAGTGAGTGCACAGAGCCTAGACAAGGGGACACACGCTGCCAATCATAAAGGTGGTAGGTAATCCACATGAAGTGTCCCCCAGTCATTGGAGAAATAGCATGGCAGTTTGCTTGTGCCACATGATACATAGTAGCATGCACTTCTGGCTTTGGATGCAGCTGATGGTGTGTGCTCCACAGGTGAGCATGACCCTACCCACTAGGAAAGCTGTGAAACAACAGATATGGGTTATGCAGTCTGCCATAGTGGAGGACAAGATGGTCTGTGTGAACCTGTAAGGGAGGGTTGGCAAAGAATGCATCACTGGCTGCTGGGGATGCCTCACTCCTGGTCATTGGAAAGGTGTTGGTGGAAAGTCAAAGAGCTCTCACTTCTCTGGTTTCTGCTCAGTAGCATGGGCCTGGTGTACTCCTGAGCAAATGCAACTGGTTATCTGGATCCTGCCCCAGTTCAAGCCAGGAGGGAGGGTTACCCAAGAGTTCAGCATCTCCAGCCTCCATGTCACAGGGCTTTCCTTCTTTATGAACCCCCAACAAAAATAACTAGGATCCCCTGCTGGTGAGTGGTTATATACTTGTTTACTGGTTCTCTTCCTGCTCTGTGTTCACCTGTGTGACTTGATTTCTAAACAAATTTCCTACATTTCCCTTTCTTAGATCTAGCTTGTGTTCTGCTCACTTTTCTTTGCTCTGGATTTATTTACATTTTGCACCGATTTTATTGGGGATTATGCAAAGTTGACATATCCTTACCTATGTTGTTACATGCTGTACTCTCAAATGGCCACACGGTGCCAAACCTCTGCTCCAGCTCTCTCCTTAATTGCTATTTTCATTGTTTCTTTTACATTAGGTGTTTAATCTAATGCTTTATGGTTTCATTTCATGCTCAGAGTTGTAGGGATATCATCTATATCTGTTTAATTTATTTTCTCAGGTCTTTGTTGTAAAAGGAATAGGCAGAGAATCTCACCAGGATGCTATCTTATCCCTTTCCTCCATCTATTAAAATGTTTTTTCTGTTTGAATTAGTTATATATATATAATTCGAACAGAATATATATATGTGTGTGTGTGTGTGTGTCTTTTGTTGTGAAAGTAATTGGAATGACAAGAGAAAATCCTTTCAAGCCATTACTTTAAGCTAGGCTTGTATTTTAAAAATCAGATGCAAGAAGTTTAGAAAGTGTGGTTAAAAAGAAAAATTTTAAATGTTGTATACATTAAAAAAGAAAATTTGCCTGAAAAGTACTAAAATTTTAAATAGTCTTTTATGCTTATGTGTTTAGATATGTTATGCACATGTTGGTTGTTTTTTCCAGTCAACAGGGCAATAGCATCAATGATTAATTGAATATCAATGGGGAAACTCATTATGAGGCTATAAAAAATAAACTCACAATTCGTCTTCTGTACAGTTAGATATTAAAAGTAATTTCATATGTGTCAGAGTAGACTTGTGTTCCATAGGGTTTCCATTTGGCTGATTTTTTCAAAGGGCTTTCAGTGATTGCTTTTTTAAAGTAGATTGCCAGACCTTTCTTTCACAGTGCCTTTGGGTGGATTCAAACAGCCTGCCTTTCTGTTAGCTGTCAAGTGTTTAACTTTGAGTCAGCTAGGGACTCTTAATGTTTTATATGTTGTTGCTGTCAGGTGCTACCATGTTCATAAAAGAAGGAAACACTGCCCAGTCCTGTGCTGTCCTCACAGTTGTTATGTTTGAGCCCATTGTTACAGTCACTGTGTTAATCCATCTTGTTGAGGGTACCTTTGTACTTAAATATATATCTCAGGATGTCTAACTGATATTGTTCCCTGTTTAGGGCATTCTGGGAGTGAAGCCAAGTAGCCATAGTCAGACTGACTGTCCTAGTCAAAGAATGAAACAATAATTTTTGGAGCTTCAAGGACTACTCATCTTCATTTCCTCTTTTTTTTCACTTCTTAATTATACACACACTCCTTTTTTTTTTTTCTAGAAGCAATATAACCTCATTATAGAATGGTGTTAGTCGGGAGAAAACCCCCCACCAAATTCCTGTGTAATTCCATTACCATAGTAAGACCATGTATTATTTGGGGGTAATTCCTTAAAATTTTTCCTAAACTGGTTACTTAAAAAAAAAAAAAGCGCAGAAAAATATTTTTTTCTTACCATCATATAAGGACTCTGATGTGTTATAGTATAAAATTTATAAGTAACAGTTTAGATGGCTAGCCATTCCATTTAGTGGATGCATACAATTTAGTTAAACATGTCCCAATTTTCTGTTTTTCACTAAATCATGCTAAATGGTTGTGTTTGTGACAAAGCCAAGGCATCCTCTTCTTAGAATAATTTCCCAGGATGTGATGGTTCTAGTTCACCAATTGCTACATGCAGAGCTGCTGGAGCATCAGCAGGCACCATGGAGTCTCTAATAAATAATCTGTATCGATCTCTCATCTTATGATTTATCTTGCTTTCCTTGCTCTTGAGCCTTTGATTCATGGCTCCAAGGGGAAATTTTGGAAAATCATTTACCCATCAGCAGAGACACCCCAATTGCTGCACAGATAAATTGCAGGTAGAGCAGAGGATCTTACATACAGACCTGGACTCTCAGTTTCTGACACTTTTTTTCCAAGAGGGTAACTGAACTTCTGGCCACACAGACAGCAAGGAGGGAACACAGAGAAGCTGTCACTGTGTTTTCTGGTCTTCCTCAGTATCCTCAGTGATTTTTCAGAGACAGGTAGGTGCTGCCTCATACGGTAGCTGAGTTCTTGACTCAAGGTTATGACTATACAAAGACAAGTTAGGGGCAATGGCCAGCTGGGGAAGAGGTCATTCTGAGGTTTCCAGGATGTGATGGTCCTAATTCACCAAGCGCTGTCATATAAAGATGCTGGAGCACCAACAGACACAGTGGAGTTTCTAATAAATTTCCCAATCTTTCTATGGAAGTGAGGAAATATATCTTTGTGAACTAATAAGCTTAACTTACAACGTTTTCCAATTCTCTTTTCTATCCTAAAGACACGAACAGAAAAGCTTTTTGCTCCCCAAAGTGAACAGCAAAAGCAGCCACTCAGGTCCTTGATTGTGTGTCTCTATGTCTATGTGTACCTGGTGAATACAGTATCTTGTAGTACCAAGGAGCCCTGGTGGTGTAGTGGGTTATGTGTTGGGCTGCTAACCACCTGGTTAGCAGTTCGAATCCACCAGTTACTATGAGTTGGAATTGAGTTAATAACAGTAGGTTTGGTTTTTGGAGTCCCAGTGTGGCGCTGTAGGATAAGCGCTGGACTGCATAGTTGGTTTGCACTGCAAGATTTGTAGTTCAAACTCACCAGCCACTCCTCAGAAACCATGTACATGGTTGATATGAGTTGTAATCTACTCACCAGCACTTAGCGCTATAACAGCAACATAATTCAAGTGCAAAAGACAACGAGATACTTTTCTTCAAGGATAAAATTGGAGAATATAGTAGTTCTATGGGTTGGGCTTTGGTAATTTTCAAGTTTCCTGAGACTTCTGCATGACTACAATTGTGTATGACTTGAGGGTTGAGCTCAGAAATTGTTGAGCTCTGGGTGGTTGGGAAGCCCAGGTTGAGGAACAGTCTGAAGAAGAGATACATTGTAAGATCAGAAGAACATGTTATCTTGGGGCAGGAGCAGAATTCCTTTGGTGAAGCCTTTGATATAAACCAGTGTTGATAGAAGACATTGGAGATGTGAACATGTGGTACTTTGTATTGTCACCAGAAGAGATTAACACAGTCTATTCTGGTAGGACCTTTAGTCCTAATGTACTGAACTGGTAGATACATACAAGGGTGCTTCAAAAGTTCATGGAATAATTTAATTAAAAGATAATGAAAAAACAAAAATGAAAACTTTCTATGAACTTTTTGAAGCCTCTCATATGAAGTTGCATGGTGAAGTGTTCACCAAGACCCATCGGTGGTTTGGAGGCTCTGTTGTGGGCCTTATGAAGATTGACACCTTTCATTTTCCTTGTCTTAGGTTCTGGCGGCTTTTTGTCCCAAGTTCATGGTTCTTATGCCTGGTGGAGTCCTGGTATGGCACTGTAGGATAAGCACTGGACTGCTAACTGCAAGGTCAGTGGTTCAAACCCACCAGTTGCTTCTCAGAAACCCTATTCATGGTTGCTATAAGTCAAAACTTACTCAACAACACTTAATGGCAATATGTGGGAAGACTGTGTTTTTTCCTTGTCTTGTCACCACTCTATTTTCATCAGCAGAAGGTAGAGTGCAGGGCACAGGGTGTCATTCATGACTAATTAGATCAAAATCTCTGAGGGTGAGACCCAAGGATAAGTGTTTTGTTTTGTTTTTTTAATTCTCTAAGAGAATCCAATGTTCAGCCAAGGTTGAGAAGTATATCTGTTTAAGAGTAAACAAATGAACTTTTTTCCCCCCAGAAAATTACATGAGTAAAACAGTAGTCCTGCCAGCACTTTAATTGCCCTTAGATTGTGCAAGTAAAGTAAAGGAATCACACCTTCCCGGCATTTTTTCTTCTACCATCAGGATGTAGACATCATCAAATTAGAGTTATCTTCAATCTTTTCAAATTGAAGAGTCAAAAATCTAATAGAAAACATTAACCATATGAGACCAAAAGGGCAGCATTTACCCTAAAACAAAGCTCAGAAGACAGCAAGCAGAAGGAATAAAGAATGACTGGGAGCAGTCAGAGGAACTCAGAGGACGTGGGAAGAGTGCTGTTATGTTGAAGGGATTGCAACTAAAGTCATGAAACAAAATGTATATAAATTATTGAATGGAAAACTAATTTGCTCTGAAAACTTTCACACAAACCAAAATAAAATGTTAAAAAACAAAAAATCTAACAGAAGAAATGCTTTGAGTGTTGATTCTGGCTAATTTGTTCAGTTTTCTTCAAGATCATTGATTTTCACTATGTTACATTTCCATTTTTTCCCTTCTTATTTATCATCACTCAGATTCTTTTTGAATTATGTATGAGCAGAGTGACCTAACTTACTCTAGGTAGTCAGAACACTTAAATTTTTTTTTATTTTTTTAAACCCTGTGTTCTTTCTCTTGAGATATTTGAGTTTTTTTCAAAACTTTTTTTATTTTTTATTACTGATTTGTTTTTGTTTTGCATTTCACAATCCTTAGTGTTTCAAATGCTATTTAAAATTCTGCAATATTCTTTGAATTTGCCTAAATTCTTTCTTAGATGTACTATATTTTTTTCAACTCTCATCTTTTATGAAGCGTCTGTTGTCTTCAGTTTACTTGAGAATTCAATGCAGCTTCTGTCTACAACTTTTGGAAATTTCCTCTGATTTATCTTTTTTCGAGGTAAAACTTTTACATGCTTTCAATTATATTATTTAAAAAATATTTTAGTGCTTTTAAGCCCTACTAGTTTTTTCTAAAGCGGTGTGATGAGTGAATTCGCTTTGAGTTGCCTTCCTGCCTACCCAATCAGAATTAGATTCTCTAAAACCTTTAAGTATCAGACTTGTATATTTAGATTTATATTAGGAGTTTCTGGTCATTAAGCCCTGTACTCATTTAAAGTGGCTACAGCTTCATTCCTTTTTCAGTTTTCCTACTGTAGTGACTTGTGTTTTGCTGTGATGCTGGAAGCTATGCCACTGGTATTTTAAATATCAGCAGGGTCACACATGGTGGACAGATTTCAGTGGCAGTCTAGAAGGAGAGGTGGACCACTTTTGAATGGTTAGCCACTAAAAACATATGAATAGCAGTGGAACACTCTCAGATATAGTGACACAAGGTTACCCTCTCAGGTTGGAAGGCACACAGAATACTACTTGGAAGGAAATGCCTCCTCACAGAGAAGTTGACCTTTATGGCATGGATCAGTTAAACTTTCAGGACCTTCATTTGCTGATGTGGCACAACTCAAAATGAGAAGAAACAACTGCAAGCACCCTTTAATAATGGGAATGTGTATGAAGTTCAATTCTAGGAAAACTGAAAATTGTCAAAAATGAAATGGAACATAATAATCAATATGCTAGGCATTAGTGAGCTAAAATGAGGCTGGTACTGGCCATTTTGAATGAGACAATCATATGGTTTATTATGCAAGGAACAAACTATTGAAGATGAATGGCATCGCATTTATTGTCAGAGAGAGTATTTCAGGATCTGTCTTGAAGTACAGTGCTGTCTCTGATAGGTCTACAAGGAAGACCATTAATACCACAATTATTCAAATTTATATGCCAACCACTATAGCCAGTGATGGTGAAATTGAAGTATTCTACCAACTTCTTCTGTCACTCATCTGTCAGTTTGCTCTACTGTGGTGGCATGAATGTTGCTGTCATCCTTGAAGCTATGCCACCAGTATTTTAAATACCAGCAGGGTGAACAGGTTTCAGACGAAATTCCAGACTAAGACATACTAAGAAGGAGAGATGGTCTATTTCCTAATATTTAGTCACTGAAAACCTTATGAAAAACAGTAAAACATTGTGAGATAGCACCAGAATATTGCACATTTAAAGAAGATGAAGACTGCTAGAATATTTTTCAGATACAGTGCCCTGAAGGTTGAAAGGCACTCAAAATGAGACTGGGGAAGAACTGCCTCCTCAAAATAGAGACACAAATAATATGCATTAGAAACCACATGGGCGATGTCACAATGGAACCAAAAAAACTCAAAAGTATAATAAGAGAATTCTATGAAAAATTGTACTCCAACAAATTTGTAAACTTAGAAGAAATGAATACATTTTTAGAAAACCACGACCTATTTAAACTTACACAAAGCGAAGCAGAAAACCTGAACAGACCCATAACAAAAGAAGAAATTGATCAGGTCATCAAAAAACTCCCAACCAAAAGAAATTCAGGCCTAGATGTCTTCACTGGTGAGTTCTACCAAACATTCAAGGATGAGCTGTCACCAATTCTACTGAAATTATTCCAGAATATAGAGAAGGATGGAAAACTTCTTAATACATTTTATGAAGCAAGCATAACCCTCATACCCAAACCAGGGAAGGATGTCACTAAGAGAGAAAATGATAGACCAATATCCCTCATGAACATAGATGCAAAAATTCTCAACATAATCCTAGCCAACAGAATCCAGAAGCACATCTTTAAGATAATACATCATGATTAAGTGGGATTCGTATCAGGGATGCAAGGATGTTTCATCATTAGAAAAATGATCAATGTAATCCACCATATAAATAAGAAAAAAGAAAAGAACCACTTGATAATATCAATTGATGCAGAAAAGGCTTTGACAAAATCCAATATCCATTCCTGATAAAAACACTCAACAAAGTAGGAATTGAGGGGAAATTTTTCAGCAAAATTAAGAGCATCTATTTACAAAACCAACAGCCTACATTACTCTTAATGGAATGAAAGTGAAAGCCTTTCCTCTGTGAACAGGAATCAGACAAGGATGCCTGTTTTCACCACTCCTATTTAATATTGTGTTGGAAGTTTTAGCAAGAGCTATACCACAAGTCAGGGAAATAAAAAGGCTTTCCGATTGGCAAAGAGGAAGCAAAACATTCTCTATTTGCAGATGATATAATACTATACATAGAAAACCCCAAAGACTCAGTAAAAAAGCTGCTAGACCTCATTGGAAGATTCAGCAAAGTGGCAGGATATAAGATCAACATACAAAAATCAGTTGGATTCCTCTATAACAAAAATGACAGCGCTAAAAAGAACATTAGGAAAGCAATACCATTTACAATAACTGTCCAAAGGATGAAATATCTAGGAAGAAATGTAACCAGATAAACAAAGGACCTATCCAAAGAAAACTACAAAACACTGCTACAAGAAACCAAAAGAGACCTACAAAAATGGAAGAATGTACCATGCTCCTAGATAAGCAGATTTAACATTGTGAAAATGTCAATAGTGCCAAAAGCAGTTTACACATATAATGCAATCCCAATCCAGATTCCAATGACATTCTTCAAAGAGATGGAAAAAACGATTACAAACTCTATATGGAAAGGAAAGAGACCCAGGATAAGCAAAGCACTGCTTAAGAAAAAGAATAAGGTTGGAAACTTTTCACTCCCAGACTTCAAAATTTATTACACGGCTACAGTGGTCAAAACAGCTTGGTACTGGTACAATGGAAGAGAATCGAAAATTCAGAAATTAACCCATTCACATACTTTCAACTGATTTTTGACAAAGTACCTAAATATCTCACATGGGGAGGTGATAGTCTCTTCAACAGATGGTGCTGGCAGAACTGGAAATTGATATGCAAAAGATTGTAACAAGAACTTTACCTCATGCCATATACAAAACCCAACTCAACATGGATTAAAGACCTAAATATGAATCCCAGAATTCTGAAGGCTGTCAATGAAAAAATAGGAACAAATGTGAGGGCTCTAATTCAGGGCATACACAGACTACCAAACACTTTGAAAACTACACAGACAAAAATAGACAAAATAGGATCATTGGGACATACTAAAAATTAAAAACTTATGTGCATCAAAAGACTTCACCAGAAAAGTAAAAAGGGAACCCACAGAATGGGAAAATTTTTTTTGCAATGACACATCAGACAAAGGACTAATTTCTAAAATATATAGAAAACTACAACACCTCTACAAGAAAAAGACAAATAACCCAATTAAAAAATGGGCACAGGACATGAACAGACACGTCACCAAGGAAGAGATCCAGGCAACCAACAAACATATGAAGAAATATTCATGATCACTAGCCATTGTTATTGTTGTTAGAGAGATGCCAATCAAAACAAT